TATGGAAGCCTATTGGGCCCTAAAATAACATCAGAATATAAAATTTTTTAGGGCACAATTTATTGGTCTATCCAGTTCAGTGTGAGCGATGCGAGCACAAGCAGGCTAACCTATTATGTCTAATATGTATTCAATTGCCTCAGCGATCACCAGCTATTGCCAAGTTGAACGCAAGTGGCGTAATGTGTCTAGAAAAGAACACGTCATTCACACGATTAGCCCAACTACTATTTCGGTACCATGGCGCAACCACAAGAGTAATTTTGCACGTGTGCAACTCGCTCCAATTGCTAGAGCCCGTATATCCTCGTTCCTTTCATTTCGCTATTAACAAGGAAACAAATCAACCGAATTGACTTCCATGCAGCTAATTACTTGAACAAATAATAGAAAACACGCTCTTAAATAGTGAATTTCTTACTTTAAGTCAGACAAACGACACGAAACGTTTCAACGCTGTAAGATCAAGATGGCGAGAGAAAACCAAAAATCGGAAACCGGAAACAGTCAGCTTTGGTGGGAATGTCGTCATCATAAATGTGTGTGCATATACTATAGATATATCATGCAAAAACTCTTATTTTATATCATCAATATATTATTATTATTATTATATAACAAATTATACAAGTTTGTATTTTATTCTCATGACTCATGTGGCCCAAAACTTTAATCTTCATCACCAGGTAGCAGCACGGTGCAAAACTCCGAGGTCGCGTCTTTTTCAGTTGTTTGCTGTTTAGTTCATTGTTATATTTAGTTTAGTTCACTAGCTCTGTAGGTATAAAATTATGTCTCACAAACCTGCTGCCGTGAGACGCTCTTCCAGAAGAATAAAACGGCCAAGAGAAGAAGAGCAATCTTTGATAAAACCTTCGAAACATTTCCAATACGAGCCTGGTACCTACGCCAGCGTTAAAGTTAAACCTTGTTTCATGCGCCTCGAGAAACTACAGCTACCGAATGGAACTGTAGACCCGAGACGCACTACGCGTAAGCGCAGACCCCCACGGCGCCTGGTCGAAGACTCTGACGATGGACATTGGCAAAAAACTTGCACTACCTCTGACGAAACCGGCGTTGATGACAATGATGTGATCACAGAGCCTGTGAGTGTGAACAGCATCGGAGTGAAGAAGCGGCAGGCATCGTCAAGCGCAGTGAACAGGGGAAGTGCGCCTGTGGTACGCGCAAGCAGGCTATTTGCAAAGCCCTTCACGAGAAACCGCGCGGTGTCTCGCCACAAAGTCAAGTTGACTGACGCCGCCGAGAAATTCGACAAGTCTCCTGAGCGCACCTCACGTGAATGTGATGTCAGCAGTGTAGGCGTGACCGAGCCGGATGTTCCCGCGACGTCCCACAAGTGCAAAGAATGTCCGGCCTCCTACTTGCAGATTAAAGACCTAACAATTCATGAGCGCAGCCACCGGCCGGAAGCAGATAAGCCTTTCAAATGCGATGAATGCAGCAGGGCATTCTGGGTTCCCTCACGTCTGCGCTACCACCAGAGGGCGCACAATGGAGAACGACCGTACAAATGCAAGGTGTGTGGCGCCACCTTCTCACAGGCGAGTACGCTACATCGCCACGAGGTGAAGCACACAGACGTCTGGCCGTACAAGTGTTCGGAGTGCGTGTCGACGTTTCAGTATCCGCTCTCCCTGCAGAAGCACATCCGCACGCACACAGGGTCGCGACCTTACAAGTGCGACAACTGCGGCATGGCTCTAAAGACCATAGAGCAACTGCGCAACCACAGTCGGCAACACCAGGGGGCGCTGCCGTTCAAGTGCACGGCGCTTGGCTGCCGCGCGGCATTCCGTCTCACGCAGTTTCTCACCGTCCACCAGCGGACGCACGTCGTGCAGAAGCCGTACCGCTGCGAGGTGTGCAAGCAGGCGTTCAGCGAGGCACGCCGTCTCAAGGTGCACCGCAGCGTGCACGACAACGCCCGCGTCTACAAGCTGCGCGCCCACGTGAAGTGCGGTGAGCGACCGTACGCGTGCGACGCCTGCGAGGAGTCGTTCACGACGAGCGTCGCCGTCGCGCGGCACAAGAAGACGCGTCACGCGCGCTACCGCTGCGAGCAGTGCGGCAAGACGTACACGCACGCGAAGACGTACGCGCGGCACATGCGCGAGCACGTCGTCGGTCGGCCGTTCAAGTGCGCGCGCTGCGACAAGAGCTTCCCGATCGAGTCGTGTCTGCGCAAGCACGAGGTGGTGCACTCGCTCGCGCGGCCGCACCGCTGCGACACGTGCGGCCGCACGTTCACCCGCCTGTACGACCTGCGCACGCACCGGCTGCTGCACTCGGGCGAGAAACCGTTTGGCTGCGACGTGTGCAGCGCCACCTTCAGGCTGCCGGCATACTTGAAGAATCACCAGCTGACGCACAGCGGTGAGCGGAAGCACCGCTGCGATGCGTGCGGGTCGGCGTTTGCCCGGGCCGAGCATCTGCGCAAACACATGAAGACGCACGAGACGCGCGCGGGCGAGTACCACAAGTGCGACCTGTGCGGCGCGAAATTTGGAGTCTACGCGTCGCTGCGCCGGCATCAACGAAGCCATCGCAGGAAGTGACCTCCGTGCGACCTCTGGATTCAGAATCTACTCGTCACTGCACACCACCACCAGCAGCAGCAAAGTCATTGCAGGAAGTGACCTCCGTGTGACCTCTGCATTCAGAATCTACTCGCCACTGCACACCACCACCAGCAGCAGCAAAGTCATCGCAGGAAGTGACCTCCGTGCGACCTCTGCATTCAGAATCTACTCGTCACTGCACACCACCAACAGCAGCAAAGGCATTGTAGGAAGTGACCTCCGTGTATTCTTATATTTCAGTATTTGTGAGGCGAACCGTTCCCAAATGCTGTTTGACCAGACCAAGCAATAATGACCAGGCCTGGTATTGATAGTCAAACAAATAGTTTATTTTCTATTATTGATAAGCTTTGGTGGTTTAAATGTAGCATGTACAACGAAAGCTGTCAATCTGTTAAATCATTGAACTCATGATTAAATGAATATTTCTAAAGAAGTAAATGAAAACACATATTACATCTAGATGGTTTTCTGCCCTATACCGAAATTGCATAGTAAGAGTAATATGTGTAATCCCTTTACAATTACTTTCAAATTTGCCATTATTGATATAATTAGACAATGCTACATAAAAATGGTAATAGCTGCTGTCAACGACAGAAATTGATTAAGTATATTTTAAATGTTGTATATGAAATTTATACATGAACTATTATGCATTTATATTTTTTCCTAATATGAAATCTATTCAGGAAATGTAAGAGTTTTAACCACATGTAACAAAGAGCTTGGCAGATAAATTGTAATTTGACTTTAATGATTGTTTAATGATTAACTGATATTAGATGTTCATTGGTAACAGGTTGTTGAAGATCATATATTAATATACAAATACGTTAGTAGTAATGAACTGCAATATTTAAGTATATTTTAAATGTTGTATATGAAATTTATACATGAACTATTATGCATTTATATTTTTTCCTAATATGAAATCTATTCAGGAAATGTAAGAGTTTTAACCACATGTAACAAAGAGCATGGCAGATAAATTGTAATCGGACTTTAATGATTAACTGATATTAGATGTTCATTGGTAACAGGTTGTTGAAGATCATATATTAATATACAAATACGTTAGTAGTAAATTGACAGCATAACTTCGACTATATAGGAGTAGATGTACTTAGAAATGTAGATGAACATTGAAATCATGATCAATGCCAACAATAAATTACTGTTAACGGAAATATGTTTCTCATGTCTCGTGATTTTTCATTTCCACACGTTTCTGTGCGATAAATGCTTGTTCAGTGATAGTATTGACTACAAAGTAGTTGCATGACATTTGCCTGGCATGTGTGCATGTATTCCAAGTTGTTTACTAAACAAACAACTACTATAGCAAAGAGTTAAGGCCGGAATTCAGGTTATCAAGTCATAAAACATCTTTATTGCAGCATAATGCATATATGCATCAACTTCAAATACAGTTCAGTTTTGTAGATGTGTTTCTCAAACCACCAGCCCTCTCTCCAAACAGATGTGAATATTGCCATCAAACCCACGGAACATTATATATAGTACTAGTAGTTCAGCAATAAGGAACTCAGTTGCCAAGAATGCAACAGTAGAACTGCACTGTGTGACGGGCAGGATACGGGCCGAATACGGCAGTATTATCTTGAAACTACATAAACCGCTATTACCTCAACTATACATGTATTCAAGAGCGTATGAAGTCTATACTCAATACGCTCTTCATGTATTTGTATCTCAGTTATTCACGTTACGAGTCTAGTGCAAATAGCTGTAAGTGCCGCTGATAGATGCTTTAATGTTACAATTTTTGTCTTTTTCTCGTCTACTACAGACTAGAAAAGCCGAAATTAGAAAAGGTATCTGTCTGTGCCGACACTTATCAATAGAATGGGAATAGCTGTTTGGGTATTTATTTCTTGTTTTCTCTAAGCACGTTCCACAACAGGCAGCATAGTCAACTACACAGTAACAATTTTTCATGCCAAGTGGTTCCAGTTTTCTAGGGCAATCGTTAACAGTAACAAACCAACAATCAAGAATACGCATTCTACCACGTTTTACCACCAAATCCTCCATTTCACCACTACCGTTCAGCCCCACATCAGTTAACTGCCTACGAATGATATCAAGATCTGGTTGATTCCATGAATGTGGCAGTTAAAAATATCGTTCACTTCTTTTAACATGTACTGGTCTATAATTCTGGTTGGACAACGTTCGTAGCACCAGCTTTTTTCTTCAAGTACCTGCAAAATCTGCGACTAACATGTTTGTTAGACCTTAGTGGACCTAGTATCGTCTCCAGCCTTCAACACCCAACATGGAGTTTACCGAAACGCTTGTAAGAAAACTAAACTTTCATTCACAATAACAACAAACAACTTCATACAGATTTAATTCCAAATAATTTAGAACCGTTAAAGCTCCTTGGCGCATTTATTTACACTTTGTGAAAACATACTGCCCGTATGAGAAACAATCATCATGTCAAAGACAAACTTACCGATTTGAAAGTAATTTGAAGCATGTTTAATCGAAATATATTTACATGTATAATATGAGACACATTTAAAGATTGGTTCCAAGTCATTTCTAATGTTGAAAAAGCGATAAACTCATCGAATGAATTTTATATAGCTAACCCCTCCGTAATATACACAATAAGCCCTAGCTTGTAATTTACAGACGACACACATCCATTGGCAGAGACGTTCATTTGTTTCAAGAGCAACGCGACCCACTCATACACCTCACTGCACTTCGCTTTTAAATGGGTGAATATCACCATTCAGGGGTGGTCACAAATGCTTACTCTGTAACAGGTGGAACATTATACTTACATCTCATCTAATAATGCTATTTAATAGCTGGTGGCTTACAACTGCAACAGAGCAAGTCCACGCAATGCCTAACACCTACTCCTACCTCTGAAAAGCATTATATACACATCATTTGTAATAATTTAATAAAGCTACACGTACTTACCGACACAGCTATGCACTTTCTCCAACCTACTTCCCCCCAATTAAATGAAAGAGCACGCAAAAAAGGTTTAGCAACGATACAGCAGCCTGGCAGCTGAGACGAGCGAAAGGACATAAGGTTCGACTATATCAATGCGAGATTTTGAAAATTTTGTTTCCCATCACACACACACACGTCATCGTTGTTCCTTTCAGTTGCGCTCTCTCTCTTGCCTTTCGGCTACTACCTATATGGTGTAATGAGTAGCATAACAAACAGAGCACTCAACCAGTCACAAACAGATGTAAAAAAAGTTGATATACGACTAAATGGGCGCATTCTACATGTTCTCTCGATACGTATTACATGTTATTGGCAATAGTTTTGAATAAACGACAGCAAAAGCAACTAAAACCGGTGCAGATTTTTACGAAATCATAACTTTCCGTCTCTCACAGAGTAACAACAGTGGACAAGATGACATCGCGAGCGAATCGTTGTGGAACCATGCAGACGGGCATAATCAACCAACCAATAAATGCGACGTATGAGCACTAGGGGGGTACCGGGGTGAAAATGCTTGAAAGACCAGCACCGATGCTGCCACACAGGCACAGCAGTTTTACAGCCTCCCGAGACACGACCAGCCGCATGCCATGATCCTAACAACAACAACGGCACCTTACACTTCTAGAACAGTTCATTCGCCCTGCAGCAAACTTGCATTACCAATGCACAGCCGCAGCGACATCACCACCCAACGCACCCATGACGACCACTACCGCAACGTCCCGATGCCTCGATGGCGGCCATAGCCATGACATCTGCTGGTCTCCATGGTGACTGTCACTGGATGGCCAGCGGTCTCCGTGGCGACCGTTGCCGGGACGACCGGTTTAGCTGCTCGACACTGCGATGGATTTGTCGAGTGCAACGTCCATGAGTGACTGGGAAGATTGCACGGTACGGAAGCAGCTGTAGCAGACGCGAACAGGATAGGGAAGCTGTTCACTCGGCAACGCCATCCGGTAGTTAGTGCATTCATCACAGAAAATCTTTCCGCAGTTCCTGTGCAACAGCAAAAGCAACAAGGTTATACCAGTTGTTGATATATACAATGTTATACCAAGATTATACGGGGGGTATATAAACCATAGAATATATATAGATACAACGGAACCCTGATTTTACGCACCCCGATTTAATGCGAAATCGAATATAACGTGATGAGTCGTTGGACCCCTTTTTTTTGCTCTTATATAGCCACGTATATATAACCCCGATTTAGTGCGACCCCGCTTTTTTCGCGATGACATTTTATGGACCCCAACCATCGCATTATAACAAAGCTACACTGTATGTATGTATATAGTATATGTAGTATACGTAACATATATAATGCATATCTGCTAGATATTAGAGATGGTCATCAATGCATGCTGATCTAGCTTTAAATGCTACATGCAATGCAGACCTTGTGTTTTAAGGTGCGCGATCGCGCTCGCGCGCCATCGCGCGCCACGATTGATCACGAGAAGTGCGAAAAAACGCGCACCTAAGCATTATCAAAACGCACACCTTTTTTCTTTTCTTTTTTTCGTGTTTTATTTTTCATTAATTCAACTTATAAACTCGAAGATAAACGCAAATGGTTGTAAACATCACAGACATTGCCGGAAGTCGGTTCACATGTTTATATCGACAGTCGCAAAGCGCTCTAGAATGACGAATGTGATTGGTTGTATTTTTAGATAAAGTTTTAATAGTCTACTTTGAAAAATTGAGTGTTGTTCCTTTTTGACTAAACATGCTACATGTGTGATTCAAGTTATCCACATGTCCAAGAACTGATATTTTGTTAGATGAAAAAAAAATCACCTAAAAAATGTCAAAATTAATAGTACAAATGCAGAGCTAATTTTTAGCCCAAAATGCTGGAAATGGCATTTCATGAAGTCTAGTTTTAAAATTTTTTCCGGGGGGGCATGCCACCGAACACCCCTAGTTTGCCTCGTGACCTGCGGGCACTCCGATGCAAATCACACCCCTCGGCGAGCCAAGGTGTGCGATTTTTCACTCGCCTGCTTCTTCCAAAACACAAGGACTGCAATGCAATGGATGCACATCCTTTAACACCCTGAGGTAGATTATTACAAACTGATATTTTGTTGACCCTGAATACGAAAGAATAGAGTAAGGTCGTTCTAGATAGAAGCTCGGATGATCACTTAAACAGTTATTTGCTTTCCTAACTGAACATGTCAGTAGTTACTTACTAACTACAGTGACTTAATCTAGCGTGCGGTGCGCGACAACGCACCAGCAACGATCGTGAGATAGCTGGGCCATGCTACGGCTGGTACCTGCAGTGGTGCTTGCGGCGGACGACGCTGAAACCAGCCTCGCAGCCCAGGCAGCGTGCGGCGGCGTGGTCCGGCATCCACAGCGTCATGTCGGCGTCGCGGCCCTCCACATGCTCCCAGCTGAGGTCAGACGTGCCGCTGCGGCCGCCCAGCGACTGCTGCTCAACACCGCTCTCCGTCGACTCCGGTAGCGACCCCTGGAGCGGGAAATGAGCAGCTGCAGGCATGACGGTCGCGTTACGTGCGAGAATGACGTTTGTGATCGGACCATATCGTTTTCGGCGCAACGTTGTTAGGTTAGAGATGATCGGCTTTCACCTATGACGTAAGTTCTTCGCATTATTTTTGTGGTGATTACGGCCGATTGTAGCGCACGCGCACACATACACGCACGCACACACATACACGCACGCACGCACGCACGCACGCACTACTACACGCACATGCTACAGAAGGTACTAACTAGTGGTGGAGCATCCAGTAGATGCCGCAGGCTCCAGTGCTGATGACAATAGCAGCCGCCGTGCCTGCGTGGCTCATGCCGCGGAAATCCATGCGGGACTGACCTAGGGGATGAGCCTGGGAGCAACATAGAGACAGGTAAGGGGGAGGAGGGGGATGTGGAAGCAACAAAACGCAAACACTTGGAAAATGAGGACGGAAGATCTATGAAAGAAACACGGGTCGTGACGCACGTCGCAGACAAACAATCTCAGCACGTGTTCGCTCGGTGGAATCGCTGAATAAGATCCGGGTAGGGAAGCCGCTCGGTTCAAACTCTAAACGATTACCGATTCGTCGTAGTAATCGACGGCGTTGGTTGCATACTGGCAGCACTGCCTGCACATCTGTCGGATCAGAAGGTTCTGTGTTTCATGAAGCTCCCTCTGCAGTGCATCGATGCGTGCCTGCGACAAACAAACACCAATAAAAAACACATGAACGCTGTACGAGACGTATGTCTGATATCCTCGTGAATGGTAAAATTCATGACTGCTAACTAAGTCAGGAAAGCATACATATAACATGATTTCAAAGTAAGCAATTCGAACAGTCTGCCAGTCTGGCATAAAGTTATAAAGATTCTGTACTAGCCTTGAACCACTTACGCCACACAATGAGATGCACTTTTGTCTGGTGGCACCGATTTTGCTATTTTATATACCGTAACAGAACAAACTCGTGGGAATTTCTATACGGAAAAATTTAGCAATATGTTCGCCAATAGGTGAGACCTAATTAGTCTACATTTTTGTATTTATCTGAAAGACAATTTTAAAACTACTTTACACTGACTAACCAATTATACATAGATATTATATAGCATGGGTTTTGGCACTAGTTGTGTCATAGACAACTTCTGTATCGTGAGAAGTGATGCTATGGCACAAGCTTTGCTATAATGGGAAGTATTTTACAGTCACTCGTGAATAATCAAAACCAGGAAAGTGAAACATGCGCAGTGTCAATGGTTTAGTGAATTACCACATTTAGTACTAGCACCCATGCGCATACACCAACACAAGATCTCTATACTGCCAATTGCTATGCTTTAGAAATGCCGCTTGCAAACCATTCCACAAGAGTAAATACTATAACAGCATCTATACATTCCACAAGAGTAAATACTATATCTGATCAGCATGTATACATGCCGTGCCAATGCCAAATAATCATTGAATGCAAATCATCAGTCCAACTTCCTTATTAGTATTGCAATACTGAGCACGATAAATGGACAGCCACGCTCATTTGCACATGTATGTCACATGTAGTTCGTGGAAAAGTAACAAGAGCCGCAGAGCGTCTGGGCTCATCTGAGGTCTGTTGCTACGGTTATAAACGTAACATTTAAGTTGTGCGTAGTGACACCTTTGTTAGGCCACATGCGATATGCAGATACGCGGGACGCAGGGACGGTCTCGCTCGTTCGTACTCATCATTTCAGGCAACTAAGAGCTTTCTGCATATCTGAGCATTAACCCGCCGAACCAGAGTTGGTTGATAAAATCGGTGCCTGAAAACTAAATATTCGTTTATATGGTTTGCATTGTTGACACAGGGAGCTCCAACGCGATCGTCTTCACTCACGAGCGTACTAAAATTTCGAACAAAACAAAAATACTAAAAAAAGGCAAAACGTTCACATTGGCCTACACCTAACTACCTCCTAACTTTTGTTGTTGTTCTGTTTTTAATAGAGGTTAGGGTTTCACAATGCACAGAGCAACTAGCAACAGAAAAACCATAGTGGTAGTTCTAGGCACGCCGCATGGTTGAATTCAAGTCAAGGCGCGATGCGTGAGTGTATGTTCAAAGGGGTCAAAGAATGCAAAGGAGTCAGCTGACAGAATGCAGATCATTGGTGAGTCACGCGGCGTCGTATATTGCGGACTCTTGGCCCGTAAATAATATTGTCTGTTTGATGAAAACATAATTTCTGCAGTTGCTACGCGACAATTATAACAAAGCGCAGCATTGACCTATCACTCCCTGGGTAGTTACTATCAACTTTAATGAGATTGTTGTTGGTATCGAGTGATTTTAACCGTAGAATACAGTCCCGTTCAGATGAGCCACAGACCTCATGCGGCTCTTGTCACTTATCCACGTAAAATGCTCTTAACCATACAGAATCTCATATATAACTCATACTGCATTAGTCTCCTCAAGTAAGATGTGACATACATGATGCAAGATGAGTCGTGCTGCGTGCCATTTATCGTGCTCAGATCTGAGCATACGTTAAAGTCATAGGACAAAGTTGGCACGCGGCGTTGCGATTCATGGAGTTTACTTCTGGCATTGGCACGCACATGTATACATGAGTTGATCAGAGTGATTGAGTGTATGTGGTATACTTTTCCTCATGTGCGAATGTAATGAGTACAGAATGCCTCGTTATGTAAGCGGTCTTCCCTTTGCTGAGCAACAGGACATCTGTGACGTGTTTTGAGCCCAAGCGGCCAGCTTTTCCTCGCATAACTCACAGATACGGCCCCACCCATCTTGCGCCTAAGTAAAATGACGTGATTTTATGGATTGTGTGTGTATGCGCGATCCCCGTTGCTAGGTTACTAAATGCGGTAACCTACGTCCCCCGAGATATAGTAGACCACCATCCACTGGTCGTGCGAGCGCGCAGGTTAAGGTTATGATCTTAGTAGCTCTAATCTCGTGTATTGGAGCGAGATGCAATGGACTGTGAGTCCGCGACGGAACGAGTGCATGCGCTTCTTAGACAAGCTGCATCTGACTATGTCAGATGAGCTAAAAAAAATGCAAGAAGTGAGCTTTATAGACAGGTGCTGGTTCTACAGAGGTGGACATTACACCGGTTCAAACTGCTGCATGTTATGTTACTAAGAGCGTATTTTAAAGTATAAGAGCATGCAACGGTGAAATGCAACAACCATGTTGTAGTTACAGTGGAATTAGTAAACTTTACCCGTTTTATTTTGACAATTCTTTGCGGTATTATTATTCAGCTGTCCTACCTTGTTAATATAAAACAAACCGCTTGTCCCTACAATGTCCCTACGCTGAGATATTAAGCGACAAAAATCTAGTATTTTGGCGAAAATCTCGAGTTGGCTGCTAGCTGAAGAATTGTCAAAATAAAACGGAGTTTAGTAATTAGTCACTAATAGCTAACACCAGTCTGCGAAATTAACCACTGGCCCGGTATCCGAGGCCAGTAAATTTTCCGTGAGGCCAATGAAACTGGTAAATGTACAAGCCTGATGGGCCAGTGGAAAAAAATGGAGTAAATGGTCTATTAATGATA